TGTGCGTGCGTGCGTACGTGCGTGCGTGCGTGTGTGCGTGTGTGCGTGCGTGCGTACGTGTGGGATGTGCGCGTGTGCGTGGAATTAAGACGTAGACACGTGTAATGCGTGGTCGTATTTGAGCTGTGAGCTGACATGCGTTCGTGCGTGGCAGTAAAGCATGTGCATGTGTGGTGTGTAGTCGCCCCGCGATGGTGCGTGTGCTTGCGTGCTGCGTTGAGCTGTGGGTTTGTGTGCGTGCGTTTGACTGTTCGCTCGTACGTTTGTTCGTTCGTTGTTTACCGTCTCACGAGACTTTCCTCAGGTGGCCCCTAATTAACAGCGGATACACCTGGTTTAGTCACGTTTCATAACAATTACCCATAGCCTTTTTTTAGGATTCAGACACTCGGTCGAAAATTATCAACCTGGCGGGGGCTGATGTAGACTCACGCCCGATAGAAGAGGCTCAATGTACTCGTGCGACGCTCCATTATTGTCACGTAGGCCCTAATGCAAGAAAAACTAATTACACGTTATTTTCCAGCGTTGCCTTGGTAATTGAATCAATCAATGCATCCGTAGGCAATAGACGCAGAGAATGTGAGAGTATCTCGCATTTCTTTCGCCTTGTATGAGACTATTCACATATAGCTAGACCTTCGTGTAGCTATAGGGCAATTTCTCATAGAGCCATTACTCACGCACTTCATAAGCTTTATTACTTGCGAGTCACATATTCATTGGCGCCGTTAACTTCGTACATTCAGAAATGTACATTGACGTTTAGGGACGATAATAAAGGCCATGCTAACCTTTCTATAGCCCACGTGCGCAAGTAAACTGTCCCTTTGTGATTTGCAATATATGCAATTACCACGAAGTGGCGGATCTAGGATTACAAAATAGAGTGTGTGTGTTGTCAGATCGAATGTGAAGATGCTAGTGTGAAGATGGGTGGTCTACATGATCAAATTGTTGAATAGTAGTAGCATGTATGACAGGGCATATAAGGCACATTTGAATGTATTTACATCAAATCCCATTAAATCAATTCATTTGTAAGAAAACTCTCCTTTTCCTCGAGATGTTACAGAGGGTCATTAATTTTTAATAAAGCTAACTGCTAGTACTGGATATTATTGGACGTGAGAGGACCTACTGGACTTATTGCTAGTATCCAACGCGTCCCATCGTTTAAATTATAGCTAAAATCACAGCAGGTAAAAATCCGTATACTTTTGTGCTTGTGTGTGTGTTCGTGTACGTATATGCGCTTGTGTATCTTTCGAGCGTGGGTACGCGTGTGTGAGTTAAATAGAGAGAAAGGGAGAGACTGGAGAGAGAGAGAGAGAGAGAGAGAGAGAGAGAGAGAGATAGAGAGCGCGCGAGAGAGAGCGAGAGAGAGAGAGAGAGAGAGAGAACGCGGGCGCGCGAGAGAGAGCGAGAGAGAGCGAGAGGGGGG